GATTGAATTTCATATGTTTTACCAGTTGTGTTGGAGTTAAATGTGGTTACTGGATATTTATGAATTCCATTATTAGTGCATAGCATGCATTTGTTACAGGGGAAGAACCCTTTCCGGTTGAAGAAAAAGGAAAGTTGTTTTGGTGGGTTAACAATGTTGGGGGCCAAGGTGTTTCTCAGAGGTGGTGCCCTACGGTAAGTGATTTCGGGGGCTTCCGGTAAATGACTCCCTAGCACCGGATCATCTTTAAGAATTCTCCAGTTCTTTCTGATAATGCTAGCTACATCCCTAAATTGAGTAGAAAAGTCAGTGATAAAAGGGCAGTATCTCTCAGTGTTAGTCTTTTGCTTAGTAATGATAAGACTATCTCTATTCATGCCCCCCACCTTGTCCCTCTCAACCTCGAGCATATTGGCGTTATAGCCTTTTTCAACGAATCTCCGTTTAAGGATCTCAGATTGGAGGACATAGTCCTCTTTTTTGTCACAATTTCTGTAGATCCGAAGAAACTGTCCCCTTGGTATGTTGCTCAACCATCTCGGATGATGACAACTATCTTTAGGGATAAAGCTATTCCTGTCTGATGATTTAAAATAACTCCTGGACAAAATTTTCGGGCCCTCAATGTATAATGTCAGGTCAAGAAAATTGATTTCCTGATTACTATATTGAAAGGTAAGTTTAATATTCATATCATTGAGATTCAATGTAGTAAAGAAGTTGTTCAAGGTAAATTCATCCCCTTCCCATAGGAGTAAAATATCGTCGATGTACCGACGGTAAAACAATAATTGTGGCCACTCTCTGGAATAGATGAGATCCTCCTCCCATCTTGCCATAAATAAATTGGCAAGACTCGGGGCAAACTTCGCACCCATGGCAACTCCAGTGATTTGTAAGTAAAATTTGTTACTAAACCAAAAGTAGTTGTGGTTCATGGTGTAGTCAAGAAGTTCTAGCAGAAATGCCTTTTGTAAGGTTGGTATATCGTTAGCTGTATTAAGATAATATTCAGCAGCGGCTAGTCCATCATCATGGTTAATGTTGCTGTACAAAGCCGCAACACCTAAGTTGAGTCAATGGAGTGGAGATGGGGTGGAGTGGAGATGGGGAAGCTGAAATTAAAATGGTTTGATTAAAACATTTTTGGTGGTAATTAAGGGGTTTAAATGGCTCCTGAGGGTTACAATAGCTCCTTTAAACTATCCTGGACCTGTTTTTGTGCAAAAATTGTACCCTCATTAGTTATACAGATGGTATCCTGGAAAGAGGTCCACAAAGACTTACTGATAAGTTATAAATACTGCAGTTAAAATAGGTGCACTGTCCCTTTCAGATATAATCAAAACCAATCAGCATGAAAAATCTAAATGTCAGGCGAACCACAAGTGCCAAAGACTGATTCAGATCCAGTGCTTCAAATTGATTTCTCTGCAAAATAGAACACTGAGCCATGGATAGGTGTGTAAGTTTACTTTGGATATTAAAAATAAATCAAATAGCATTTTTGATTTGAGGCACTCAGATGCAGTGTAGTTTTGCTTTATTCGTCTGGAATTCTTTCCAAGATACCACCTGAATGGTTTTCACTAGAGATGAGCGAATCGAACTTGGTGAAGTGGAATTCGTTTCGAATATTAGGAAAAATTCGATTCGCACCGAATCCGAATTTTAGCAAACTTCGGACGCACGAATCGAATTTTCCCCGATCAGCCGGCAAAAAGTGTCACTGCAGAGAGCTCCGCTATTTCTGACAGTTCTCTGACAGTTCCTTCACATTTACAGCGGTTGAAACATTGTATCTATTTGTTTCCATTTAGGATACAGATGTTTTTATTCGGAAATAAATAGATACAATGTTTCAACCGCTGTAAATGTGAAGGAACTGTCAGAGAACTGTCAGAAATAGCGGAGCTCTCTGCAGATACACTTTTTGCTGTACTGGAATTCTTCTTCTTTTCATTCTTCTTCTTCTTTTCATTCTTCTTCTTCTTTTCATTCTTCTTTTCATTCTTCTTCTTCTTCTTCTTTTCATTCTTCTTCTTTTCATTCTTCTTCTTCTTCTTCTTTTCATTCTTCTTCTTCTTCTTTTCATTCTTCTTCTTCTTCTTTTCATTCTTCTTCTTCTTCTTTTCATTCTTCTTCTTCTTCTTTTCATTCTTCTTTTCATTCTTCTTCTTTTCATTCTTCTTTTCTTCTTCTTCATTCTTCTTCTTCTTCTTCTTCTTCTTTCTTTTCATTCTTCTTCTTCTTTTCATTCTTCTTCTTCTTCTTTTTTCATTCTTCTTTTCATTCTTCTTCTTCTTTTCATTCTTCTTCTTCTTCTTTTCATTCTTCTTTTCATTCTTCTTCTTTTTCTTTTCATTCTTCTTCTTCTTTTCATTCTTCTTTTCATTCTTCTTTTCATTCTTCTTTTTTCATTCTTCTTTTCATTCTTCTTCTCATTCTTCTTCTTTTCATTCTTCTTCTTCTTTTCATTCTTCTTCTTTTCATTCTTCTTCTTCTTTTCATTCTTTCTTCTTCTTCTTTTCATTCTTCATTCTTCTTTTCATTCTTCTTTCTTCTTCTTTTCATTCTTCTTTTCATTCTTCTTCTTCTTCTTCTTTTCATTCTTCTTTTCATTCTTCTTCTTCTTCTTTTCTTTCTTTTCTTCTTCTTCTTCTTTTCATTCTTCTTCTTCTTCTTCATTCTTCTTTTCATTCTTCTTCTTCTTCTTTTCATTCTTCTTCTTCTTCTTCTTTTCATTCTTCTTTTCATTCTTCTTCTTCTTCTTTTCATTCTTCTTCTTCTTCTTTTTCATTCTTTCTTTTCATTCTTCTTTTCATTCTTCTTCTTCTTCTTTTTCATTCTTCTTCTTTTCATTCTTCTTTTCATTCTTCTCATTCTTATTTTCATTCTTCTTTTCATTCTTCTTCTCATTCTTCTTTTTTCATTCTTCTTCTTCTTTTCATTCTTCTTCTTTTCATTCTTCTTCTTCTTCTTTTCATTCTTCTTCTTCTTCTTTTCATTCTTCTTTTCATTCTTCTTCTTCTTCTTCTTTTCATTTCTTCTTCTTCTTCTTTTCATTCTTCTTTTCATTCTTCTTTTCATTCTTCTTCTTCTTCTTTTTCATTCTTCTTCTTCTTCTTTTCATTCTTCTTTTCATTCTTCTCATTCTTCTTTTCATTCTTCTTTTCATTCTTCTTCTCATTCTTCTTTTCATTCTTCTTCTTCTTTTCATTCTTCTTCTTCTTCTTTTCATTCTTCTTCTTCTTCTTTTCATTCTTCTTTTCATTCTTCTTCTTCTTTTTCTTTTCATTCTTCTTCTTCTTCTTTTCATTCTTCTTTTCATTCTTCTTCTTCTCCTTCTTCTTCTTGTTCTTCTTTCTTCTTCGTCATGCCCCGTGACTGCCCAAATGAGTGAAGTGTGTGGTGATTTCTAAGATCAACGGCACTCATCTGCATGTCATACTGACTGACAGTATTATTTCTCTTCCCCAGCAGACTCCAAGGGCATTTAAATTAAAGGTACAGTGTTCTGCACTAATATAAAGGCTCTCTGAAGCCTAGAAACCCTTTTAATAAGTTAAATTCGCAGCGAATAAATTCGCATCGAATCGAATTTCTCCCGCAAATTCGGCGAATCAGCCGAATCGAATTTTTGAATAATTCGCTCATCTCTAGTTTTCACTATAATCAGTGGGGACTGAAAAATATGCTGCATACTTCTGTTCAACAAAAAATAAAATAAAATAAAATGTAATAGTGATAGTACACATAATGATTACATAAAAAGGTAAAACAAAAATATTAAGAATACTGTAGGATCTATTTATCAAAGATTCATTGGGCAATTCATCCCAAGATTCACCAGGATTCATGCTCGTGCTGCTGATGGATGAATTTTGTTAAATAGAATGTTGCTGAGGCAAATGTCATCAAATATGTAAAGTACAATAGAGGCAATAAATAGAAGATTTAGAGTAAATGTGTAAAATCAAATTGTTTCCAAAAAATTTGGAAAAGTTGGGCAAATTGCCTAACAGCCTAACAACGATATAACCACAAATAAAAATCAACTGCAATAAACATAATTAAAAAAAACCCACACCCTCTAAATAAAGAAAATAAAGGATAGAAGTTTTCAAGCATATTTAACTTTAGGTATGGCAATTTTTACCCATGGAAGCTGGCCAAGCTACTGCAGTGATCCCCACTAGTTTCTGGGTCTTGTACCAATCAGCAATCCTTCTGCATAATGAACACAGGAAGTGCTCGCTTAGCATAGGAACCATTCAGGGAATACTTTGCATTTTCTCAATGAATGCAACTTGTCCTCCGATTGGATTAAGTGGAGACTGTGACATCACTGCCACAATCTCTTCCAATCAGAAAACACTTTGTTTTAATTCAGGGAGAATTTGGTGTTCCCTAAATGGCCTCCATGCAGAGTGAGGAACTTCCTGTGTTCACAATGCAGTGGGGCAGCTGATCGGCACGGCTTGGTGCTGTAATAGCTGTGTCTAATATAGTGATTTACAGCTTTTATAGGGATTTCACAGTTACGACACATACATACTAACATTGGTCCAAGCTGTACCAATGTAATCATGTACAAATTGTCACATCTAAACTTCAGCTTTAATTTCACTATGGTATAATTTTGACGATGATGAAATCTTTAATATCACGGCAAAATCAATTTCTCCATAATAACTGAGCTCATCTCTGGCCAGAAACAGTTAAGTGCATAAGACGAACGTACAGGCATAGACAATGAAGCATAGCTGAAGTACTCATGAGAAAGACAAGCTGAAATGGGCAATATGAAGGCACCACAAAGTTTGATTACCAGTCTTGAGTGCTTGAGGTAATTGTTCATGCTTTCTGCATTTATGAACAGTTAATTATAACTTTTTAAACTTTGTAAATGAAAAACAATTTTTCTTTTTTTTTCTTTTTTTTTTAATTAGGACAAGATGTCAGTCATGGACTCAAATATCGGTTTGACAGCAGCTAGCATGCTTGAAGAGATGATGGAAATCACTGGTCAAAACTTGGTTAGAATGGAAGCTGATGATCATTACAAATTCATCAAACAGCTTGGAAAAGGGAAATATGGCCAAGTAACCTTAGTTATCCATCGCCAAAGAGGTAATAACAAGTCACGTATAATTACAGATATTCATAACGGGAGACTTGTCAATAGCTAAATTAAATTCACTTGATTTTTCCACTAGATCAGTGTGATATACACAGAATTATCCACCTTAGGCATTCAAACATTCATAATTCATATATGGTTCTTTGCATACTTGACAAGGTGACCCCATAGGTAGATTTAACCCCATCTTTTATTATGGGGGACAAGGATAACATTTTTAATTTTTTTTATCCCTTCCTCTGTCAATGACAAGGTCAAAAGGACAAATTGTGAGTGTGAATCTTCCTACTGGAAAAACAGCAATAAACACTTTCAAGGGATACATCCAAGAGGGACTGGGGACTTCAATACTTGTTAATACAGAGTCATAAAAGGTAGAATGACAATTATTCAACATGCTCACTGGGTCTGGCTAGGCGGCTCTCTGCAACCAGAGATACCCTCCAATGAGCACCCAGAAATGTCACTCAGTGCTTAAACCAAAAGAGGGGCACCAGACCAAATTCTGTTTTATCTGGAACTCCTTTTGGATTAGGCTCTGAACAATAAAAACTTGACTGGGGTTATAGCACTTCAAAACAAAAAATTGGCTTTAGATATAATAATATTAGCCCTGATCACTGTAATAATGGCACTGGTGATGTCAGTGGCAGTTAGTTCCCCCCAACATCAGCTAGTGTCAGACTGACCACCGCAGTGTTGTGAATGCTGAAACATTTACACAAACCAATCAATATACACTTTTTGGGATTTTCTTTTTTTACCAAAGACATGTAGCAGAATACATTTTGGCTAAAATGTATTAAGAGACTTGATTTTTTTATGGGATATGTTAAAGAAGAAGAAGTAAAAACTTTTTTTTTTAAGATTTTCGGTCTATTTTCTATTATGTAATAAAAAATAAAAAAACCCAGAGGTAATCAAATACCACCAAAAGAAAGCTCTATTTGTGTGGAAAAAAATATGAGATATATGAGATCCATAACCACATTGCTAAATATATAATAACAGAAGTATAAAAATTCTCTCAATAAAGTACAGTATCTCGTGAAGTACATATAGACATGACCAGGGGTGGACTGACAACTCATGGGGCCCCCGGGCAATAGGGGATCATGGGGCCCCTATGTCCCCTATGTCCTCACCCACACTCAAAACCACACCCAAAAAAGCCTATGAAAGGTACTAGGGGCATCTCATGGGGCCCCCTACTGACCCTGGGCCCTCGGGCAGTGCCCGGGTGCCCGAATGGTCAGTCCGCCCCTGGACATGACAGGAATCTAAGCAACAAAACATAAATGATAAAGTCCTAATAAATATCCTCTCTTGGGTAAACAACAGTCTGTGTATTCAAATACAGAAACTTCACTGCTGTGTACCAACACCCTTAAGAAGTGGCTGCTCAGCTTCCAATCAGACCCATAACCTCATATACGTCTTACTCACTTAGTGGAAAAATTTCCTCACACTGGCTCCTGTTCTTCCTTCTTTCTCATCAAAGGACGCTGCATAGGTTCTCCTCATCAGTCACAAAAGCTCTAAAGTAGATGATAGAGAAAAGCGACCACCAATAGTGTAGTAGTAAAAAATGTTTTATTATGATAAAAGAATACCAGAACACATAGAGATAAATGAAACTCACTCACAGAGTTCTGTGTGCCTACAAGTCCTGGCCAGGAGCGGACTGATCATTTGGAAACTCGGGCACTGCCCGAGGGCCCGGGGTCAGTAGGGGGCACATGAAATGCCCCTGGTACCTTTTTCATAGGCTTTTTTGAGTTTGAGAAAGGACACAGGGGCCCCATGATCCCCTATTGCCTGGAGGCCCCATGAGTTGTCAGTCCATCCCTGGTCCTGGCTGTCAGCTTGTAGTTTTCAATGAACTACCACAGCACTGTGGAGCACCGTGGTAGTTCATTGAATCTTCATGTCAGTATATGTGCTTGCTTGTACATCCCGTACGGCAAGCAGACATTCTGACAGGTCTGCAGGAGTCCTGCATGGCATCAGCGATCTACTGCTTGCTGGTGCAATGCTTTTAAGGCATCTTTGGACAAAAATAATAATCACACATTTTTTTACCTGGAAAAAAAATGTGCATTTATTATTTTTGTTCAAAAGGTGAACTTACCCTTTAAGTAATTTTCTAGCAAAAAAATACTGATTTGTATATGTAAACACAAGTGTCAGAAAAGTCTCATGCTTACAGGTTTCCAGACAATGCTGTTTTTATTTAAAATTCGATTTTGCCAAATCTGTCCTTACAGTCATCAAATGAATTTTGCATTAATATAGCAAATACTAAGAAGAATGTGCACGATGTATTGTGATGTGTAAGAGAACACCTTTATTTTCTGTATATAAAAATACACAAAATAATTGCTGAAATTATTTAAAAGCTAGTCTTAACTAACATTGTAAATATGTGTGGAGTTTCACTAACAAGATGTATTTAGTGGAGATGTCATGTTGTCTACATGCCACTATCATGCATGGCTTTCACAAATTAGAAAGACTAATGGATTCCAAGCACGCACTTACTTCTGTCTACTGCTGTGCTCTACATGAACCTAAGATCAGTTTGCAGTGCACCAACTCCATTCCTGTCACCAGAATTCCTCTGCATTTCACAGTCTCTGTGCAGTTCCATCTGCGTGGCGTTAGATTCATGGCGAAAGCAAGATAGTAGCATATGTTGGAAAATATTTCAGCAGTTTTGATACATCAAGAGTAGTATATGTATGGTACTTTTTTAACACCTTACTAATTCTATCTGTTGCCTTTCTTAACACAGTGGCTCTTTCCTCAGTGTGATCCTACAAAGCAGCTTGAAGTATAGAGCCATATTTATACAGCGTAATATGAAATGCTCACTCTGATTAAATTACACTCTGACATGTAGAAGCAGGTCCTAATTTGTGTAAAGGTCTCACAGGTCAGGGTTTAGAGCCAGCAGGGGTGGTTTATGGGATAACTGCACTTTTAAAATACATTAGCCCTTTTAATAACACATATCAAGGGGCACAGAACAATATATAAATATAACCTTAGATCTCTACCTTTTTATTTCTCTGGTTTGAGAGCTGCAATCAAAGGCTCTGATGAGTGTAAATCATTGCTCTGCTTACATGCTATCTGTTTGCAGTCTGTACTTATTGACAAGGCAATGTAGGAAGACACACGTCTACTAATCAGGACAGAGGACAACATGGAAGGCAACCTGCTCCACTAATGTGTTTATTTCATTATCTTCAGTATCAGGAGGCATACATGATAACTTTTTTTTTCAGTACTCTGCTTTTGAATTTATTGAATAAATATATTAGAAATTTCGATAAGAGGGAAAACTTCTGCATATGCTTGGTTTGCCCTGCCCAGTCCTTATCCCCATGCTGTCAGATGTGCTTGCAGCTCCCTCTCTATCCTTAAATGTATGCTCTATATACACTCACTGGCCACTTTATTAGGTACACCTGTTCAATTGCTTGATAACACAAATTGCTAATCAGCCAATCACATGGCAGCTGCTCAATGTATTTAGGCATCTAGACGTGGTGAAGACAACTTGCTAAAGTTCAAACCGAGCATCACAATGGGGAAGAAAGGGGATTTAAGTGACTTTCAACGTGGCATGGTTGTTGGTGCCAGACAGGCTGGTTTGAGTATTTAAAAAACTGCTGATCTGCTAGGATTTTTTTGCACAACCATCTCTAGGGTTTTGCAGAGAATGGTCCGAAAAAGTGAGAATATCCAGTGAACGGCAGTTGTGTGGATGAATATCCTTGTTGATGTCAGAGGTAAGAGGAGAATGGGCAGACTGGTTTGAGATGATAGAAAAGCAACTCATGTCAATATGGACTAAAATCTCTGAGGAATGTTTCAACACCTTGCTGAATCTAGGTCATGAAGAATTAAGGCAGTTCTAAAGGCAAAAGGGGGTCCAACCCGGTACTAGGAAGGTGTACCCAATAATGTGGCCAGAGAGTGTATATTACTGCTGGCCAATGCAGACTACCAGCATGCTGAATATTAAATTAAAAAATTACAAAAAAAAAATTTTTGGACCTACAATGGCAGGTTTGAAGCTACATGGAAAGGAAAGAAAGAGGTAAAATGTTATATCTGAAAAATGGCTTGCTGTCCTGTCCATGAATATATTAAAAGAGATAATGAGGCTAATTCACTAAAGGAAAATAGGCTGTTAAATTTCCAAGGGGGATATTAATTTTTTAAGGGAATTTTCCCTTAGCTAAGTGAATGTGGCGAAAATGCACTTTGCAAAGAATACTTAATGTGTCACGGTAGGGGCTCAGGCTTGGAGACCAGTAGTTATAGCAGGTGAGAGGCTCCCAGCAGCCAGCAGGATAAGTATACAAGCAAATCACCCTGGAGGATGATGTGGGCTCATTCAAGGTGTGGGGATCTAAGCACTAACCGGTATTCACTAGAGCTTCTGATAGTGGATATGGGTTTTGTTGCATGTTAGTAGCAGGTCACAGTCGTCAGGATTGCCCCACCAGGAGAGTGAGTAATCTGGGGTAGATTAGCAGATACAGCAGGTAGGGATCAAGAAGCATAGCTAGTAAACAAGTCAAAGGTCAGTAACAAGTGGTTGCAGGTTGGAATCAAGCAGAAGCATAGTCTGGGAACAAGCCAAAGGTTGGTAACAAGTGGATGCAGGTTGGGATCAAGCTGAGTCAAGAAATAAGCAAAAAGTTGATTACGAGTGCTTAGGGCGTCAAGAGCCAGATACTGACTGGAAAGAGCACAATTATCTGGCAAACAGGAAGTGCAAAGGCATGGCTTATATAAGAATTTCATGGGAGGAGCAAAGAGATCAAGGTTCACCAGAAGCAAGGTACAAGGCGATATTGTCCAGGGAGGTGCACAGTATCTCAGGTGGCTCAGCAAGAAGAGATACTGACAGACACAGCAAAGGTTTCAGGTTCAGATCCAAATCCTGGCTGTACTCCCCTCCTCCCAGGACGCT